CACCCTCCCCCCCCAAGCTAAAAAAAACTTCAGCAAAGTAGAAACAAAGGCACTGCACGTCCACAGACCTCCTGGTTTCCATTTCTCATGGGCCTCTCACTTTCTGGTTCCTAGGCTGTGATAGAGTGCTGAGAGCACCCCAAACTGGAGGTTTCAGCAGCCTCTCTGACAGCTTCACTAGCCCAAAGTTACTGGGGAGCCAGATGTCCTGGCCACAGCAGCTTCTGAGCCAGCCAGGAAACCTGTCCCCTCTGGAGGGCTGGTGGCTGCTGTGCAGGAGCCACGTCACAGCCAGGCCCTGCACTGCCACCCTAGAGCACACTTGAGCTTCGCCTTCCAGCAGGGAAATTTGGGGATTTAAACCAGCTTCCCTTTTCACAGCAGCTTAAGTTCTTTAAGGAGTTTAGCTCCATAAGCCAATTAAACATCTTTAAGTCCTTGAGCTCTCCTACCTTCCCTGAGCAGTTTGCATGCTTACATGGCTTTACAGGCTGAAAGCTGATTTCATCCAGCCAGGACCTGAGCATTTTATGAGGTCACAGGCCAAGCAATCCCAGGCAGAGTCGGCAAGTCTGGAATCCTCTGCAGACCAGCCTCAGAGTGCTGCACTCCGTGGCCTCGATCCTGACAGCAAATTCTTGCAGGTTTGGAAAAGGCCAGCTCCACCTTTATTCCTTTCCTTTCCAGAAGCCCCAGCTCTAGGTTATAAAGCAATGGATGGCCCCATGTGCTCAAAAACTTTACACACTGAGAGTGGGAGTAAAGCAGTTATTATCCTCATTTACACATCCACTGAGGAAGTGTAGGCAGACATAACTGGTGTCATCCCCTCGGGTCCCATCCCAGAGCCTTATCCCTCCTTCCTGTCTTTTTTCCTTTGGATTAGTTAACACTCTAAGTAGGAGAACAGTAATACAGTCATTTGATATTTTAATATGAAAGCTTAGAACCAAGTCTCTGAAGTACTGTTCTAGGCTTTTCTCTTAGGTTTTCTTTCTCTTTGTTTTTAAATGGACAAATCAGCAACATCTCCAAAGCCACAAAACCACAACATAAAATTTTATGTCTTTATATGAGAAGATATCACCAGCCCCCTTTGTTTCCTGTAAGACATATCCTGCACAGCTAGATATATTTAATATATAAAGTACATAGATTATATATACTTTTAAAAAATCATTGTATATCTCCTAAATGCTCTTTTTAAGTCAGTTAATAACCACATTCCATTATGTTGTCAGAATACAGTTTTAACTCCTTCAAAGTAAAAGCAACGTGCTGCAGTAACAATGTGATTCTGTAAGCAGTTGTGGATTAACATTCAGTGACCACTGAATCTTCTCTGTGATTAAAAATCCCCACCAGCTGCCCAATCTGCTTTTGTCAGTGAACTTGCTGTCATTTTACAGCAATAAATATACAGTTTGCCCACATACTTGAGGTCAGACGTGCTTATGGCTGAAAAGGAACATTTGCATGAGTGTTTTGTGAAGGGCAAACCCATAGCTCTGGAGCTGCTCAAGGTCTCCCTCTCTGTTTTCTCTAAACCAGTGACAAATCATCCCAGAAAGCTCCATCTGCTCAGCACCCAGGTAGTGCCCTCTCCACCAGGTTCAGCCAAGAAGGATGTGGCACTGAGGTGCAGCCCCTGGACCCTGGAGCAGATGTGAGGGTGCTGGAATGGGCTGTCCAAGATGACCCCTGTCCCAGTAAAGCGCTTTGTGCCATCATGACTCATCAATGCCTTTGTGCAACTTGGTGACCTGCAGCTGGCACTTGCATTTTGCAACAGCCTGCTGTGCTGCAGCAAGCAGGAGTGATGCCCTCCACCACAGTCCATCACACTTCCTCCAGAGCTTTCCAACCCCCAGCTCTGGGCACCTCGGCTGTAACTCGGTGCCTTTGGGGTGGTTTTAGCCACCCCAGCACTGCTGCCCTTGGTCCTGGCCCTGGCTGTGCTGAGCTGCTCTGGGACACAGTGAGGGCTGTCTCCCCAGCCTGGCTGTCCTGTGGGCTTCCCTGGTGTGGATTAACACCCATGTGCTCGGCACTTTCTCCTCTTTAATCTGTTCTGTCCGACCAGAGTCTCAGGCTGGCTGTGAGCAGACATGCACACGCTGTGGGTGCTCACACACCTCCTCTGAGCCACATGATTTGCACCATCTCTTGCTTTGAAGCAGCAGTACCACTTCCATTCTTTTCCCTAGGTTTTTGTCTCTGATCAATATTTAAAAAAAATAAATCAAAAGCTACAGAAGAAAAACAAAACAAAACAACCAGAGAACTTTCAGTTTAACTCTACAATACTTGAACCCTTTTGTTCTTTTTTGTGGATTTAGGTCACCCCGCAGAGATCAATTGTTTTCTTTCTTGTCCAGGCATGTCTTCCTGCTCAGGCTGATAATTTGCTTTACTTGTGTGTGGCTGTATGGGTTTGGGTTTTCCCTTGACATTTCTGTGAACAGTGTAGTGAAGGTTGGTAGTGTTTATCCTCATTCCCTTTCTCCTTTTTGCTTATTTTGATTATTCTCCCATACCAATGTTGGCTGTTTCTCCAGTCATATTTAATCCCCTTCGTGGCCACCTCCAATTTTCCAATGCATATGCTGGCATTAAATTGCCTGTTATCCTGTCCTAATTTCCATGTTACAACTGCTCAGAGGATAATAAAAATTTATCTATTATTTTTCTTGTTGCCTTTGTATTGTTTATTGTTCATCTGTACTCGGAGAGCCTGTGAGTTCTTTCATGACTATTATTTGTTCCACATGTCCAAGCTCAAACTGAGAATAAGAAAGCTTCCAGGGCTGATTCTTCCTTGGCCAGAATTTCTATTGCATTTTTATTTTTAACCTTTTGAGAGCAGTTTTGCCTTCCCAGCTCAGATAGGAACCTGAGGGAGGCAGGGAGGGGCCAGCTCTGGGGTGACTCTGCAGTCAGATGTGCTGAGGAGGTTTTTTTCAGAGGCACAAGCTAAGAGAAAGGTGAGACCTGGTTCCCCTTAAAGTCAGAAGGGAAAATTCTGGCCTCTGTGACTTTTGTCGTCTTTTACAGCCCAGCTGACTCTGGGAAGATTTGGTTGGTTTGAGTGGGAAGTTCACTTCTTAAAATTTGGTGCAATACTCGATGTCCTATCCATGTAAAACTGGGGAAGGGGTTGAGTGTGGTTTTGTACTGCAGCTGGCAAACTGAAAATACTTCTGGTAACTTCCCTCATGTTAAGGGAATCACAAGTTCTGCCAAGCCACATCACATTAACTAATCTAGTTACAGAAACACAGACCCTGTAACTCACAGGTCTTTTTTTTTTGTCCTGATAGAAACCATTGGACCAACTGATGCCCAGTGCTCAGAGTTATTACAGTCTTCCTTTAAGCCACCCAGATTAATGGAACAAATTCTCATTCAGAGAAATCAGGTACAGATCCCTAGTGACTACACTGATTTGACTCTGGCTTTTGAGCAGTATAAATTACAGCAGAATATCATTATTAATTTCAGCTGTCCCCTGTCCTGCCAAATTATCATTCATCTCCCCAAGTTGGAGACCTTTATTTTATCATTTTAGTGGAAAAAATCTGCACTGTTTTCTCCCTCCAAATTAGCAGTCTATGATTTCCCTCGGGAAGTCTTTCTTAGATGTGGTGCTGATTAGTGCTTGACTAACAGGCACCAGCACATTTTTTACCTTCCAACACATACCTGAAATCTCTCACCAGGTCCATGGCTGCCTGCTCAGGAGTTAGTCACTTCCTCCACAGCCTGTAGGGAAGACAGCAAAGTTAAAGAAATGCTCGGTTCTAACAAAGCTTACTGTTGGTGTCTCGCTGCTCAAATGTACACTGAACTAATTTCATTCCATCAGGAAAACACCCAGACTGAGGCCAGGGGCTGATCATTAAAGACTGAGTTCTTGGTGTTACCTGGTAAGCTTCTGAATCGACCAAGTACCATAAAGTGTAATTTCTAAATGTCACATCAGCCTCACTGCCCAAGTGCTGCACTTCAAGCTGCCCACAAGGAACTTTTCCCTTCCCTTGCCAGGGAATTGCTCATGTGGCTCAGTGCAAAGTGCTAGTTAAACAGGAAAATGTTTTGTCAGGGAAATGGTGTCAGTGCAGGGTTTTTGAGGGGATCAGCAGGAATACACCAGCACATGGCAAACCTGGGAAAAAGCACAGTGGGCTGGGGCAGGGGCATCAGCCCAGGGGAAAGTCTCATTCCCAGTGGTGCCAGGCAAAGCCACGAAGACACACTGAGGCTGATGATCATGTGAGGTTGTTCTGCTTCAGCTACTTTGGGAAATCTCTGCTTCCACAGCACAGTTTTTAAGTACTATTAAAGAAGGTAAAACTTGCTGCACATTAAACTGGCCCTGGTGAGGTTACCTGGTTTGGCCACTCTTCCATTGTAGCTTTGCCTCCAGTGCTGTTCCTGTGGCTTTTTGCTGGCTTAGGGGGATTGAGTGTTAGAAATCAGATTCTCACATGAGGTTATGAAATGCAGTTGCATCTTCTTCCATGGAAGGGACAGTGACAGCTCCTGAAGCCCTGTGCCCTGGGTGCTGGCCCCAAACGTCCCTGTGCCACCCCTCACACCCTGTGCCCTTCTGCCCACTCCCACCTCAGCTTCTGTCACTGCCCTGCACAAACCACTGCACTTTCCCTGCCTCTCTTGGAGAGAATTTGTGCTTTACAGTCTTACTATAAAATAACAAGAACCAGGCTTTTAAAATGAGGAAGTTTCTCTAAGAGACTTCTGTGCTTTTGCTATAATCGCTCCATATGCTCCTCTGACAATTTCCATGACCTTATTTCTCACCAAAAAAAAAAGAAAAAAAAAAAGAAAAAAAAAAAAGACAACTCCCATCATCCCTCAAGTCTCAGAAGAGCTCTCCACACAGTAAACGAGAAGCAGATCTCCTGCCAGCTCTCTATCTGGATCTCTTCTTACACATGTTTAACCCTCAGGGTACAATGGATGCTGAGAATTACTCTTTCGTAACATTTGTTTGGCTGCCAGAAAGGAAAAATGATTAGCAGCTCAAAGGTTACATTGCTGTATTTTGCAAGAGAAGCCCTTGTCATGGGCTGTCTCTCTTTTGCTGACTGTGGATGTGAGCTGTGATGCTCAGCTGCCCACAGGGCACTGGGGTTCTCTGCCCACTGGGCTGTGCTGCCCCAGCTCTCTGTCCCATCCCTGTGCTTGTGGTGCCATGTGGGAGCTCTGCACTGCTGCCCTGCAGGGCCTGATTCTCCTCTTCCTCCCATGGGCAGCAGCACCCAGACATCACAAGTGAACCCAGACCTTGCAAGTGGTACCCCAGACCTAATGTCTCATCTCCCACTTAATCTGAATGAGTGTGCCCAGCTTTATATGGCATATAAACCACTTCCTGCTCTGTGCATTGCTATTTGCACACTCTCTCCCTAGACTTCAACATGTTAAAAACAAGTAAGATGATCCATTTTTAATATATAGATAATGGCTTAAGAAAGGGATATAAAACAAATTGCCAAATTAATGACTATTGTTTCCTTTATTAGCCCCTTATTAGCCTGTTTCCTGAGGGCAGAGCTGTTTGGATAGGATTTACCTCTCTTTGGACCCTGATGAACTCAGAAATTTGGTATAAATAGCTTTAGAAACTCTTTTGTGGTTTTTAGAGCAGGCTGCAATGATCACAAGATGCTGCTGCCATTGTGTCCAAGCAGACCCCATGCCCTACACATCCCCAGCAGCTGCCAGCATGGGAGGGTCTGTGGGACAGTGGTGGTGGGCTCCTTCCCCTTGTGCATCGGCTCCTGCCCCTCTCTGCCCTGAATTGCTGTTCTGTAGCATCTCTTGGACACACTCACCCAGCCTGACTGCTTCTGCCATGTCACTCTCCTCACACAGCACTCCTGCTTGTATTTCACATCTGGAGAGTCTGCCAAGGACAGGCCAGGTCGAGCAAGTCCTTGAACATCCTCCCTTGTTCTGTTGTCTCAGGCTGCTCACATTTTGTTCCACAATAAAGAAGCTGCTTGAATTATCTCTGCACTAACCTGTACCTGCATTGGGCAGTTTGTGCAGAGGTAACTGAAATTTCTGGCCCTGGGTTGCAGTCTTCCCTGCAGATTGTCACTGTCACATCATAGATGTTTCTTCTGTTCATGGTGTTGATGGGTGAAAGCAATGAAGTTTGAACTTTGTTCAAATTTCCCCTGAGCTTGGCAACATAAGAGGCAGAGCTCTAATATGGGTTCAGGCTGGTTTTTAGGTACAAATTATATGTCAGTTCAGTGTTTTCCCTTGCTGTCTTCTCTTGCCAATAATTTGCTACAGCACACAGAATTCCTGTCATCCCATCAGCCTGTGTCCCTCCGAAGTCACTTCAGTGCCCGTGATCAGCTTCTGTGTTTTCCCCTCTCTGCAGGGAGCAGCTGATCCCACACAGAAGCATCACGATTCTCTCTGGGAGAGCTCTGCTGTACCCCCAGAAGAGCCTGCTGTGACCCCCTTGGGGTGCACCCCCAGGTTGTTCACTCAGGCTGGAACAAACCTTTCCTGTTGGTTGAGATGATGTGGCCACAGAGCCAGGATGAGGCAATTTGCCCTGGAGTTACCAGTCCAGTCCAGGAAATATTATCTACTGCTCAGAACTCCAGACTGGGAGACTGTGAGCACAGCCCAAATTCTGCCTTTGGTTTTTAGGTAGGATCTTGGGTAAAATGGTTCTAAACCTTATTTTTCATTTGCTAAAGGTTGGATGAAAATGTTTCCCCAGAGGAGTTAGGTGTTAGATTGAGTGTTTCATGATCACAAAGCCTTTGATATCCTTTAATCAAAGAGTTGTTAAGGGTTTTAAAGGTTGTTATAATCTGTGGAAGAGATGTTAATTCTCTGTGTGCAGCCTATACAGAACATGGAGCCTCTAATGTTATTTGGGAACTAAGTATTAAACGCTCCCTTCAAGATGCTGACAGAAGTTACCTTTCAGCCTCACACACAAGCTGATTAGAGTATAGTGTGCTTTGAAAGCTTCTTCAGTTCTCATTAGCCCCTCTCTTCTGAGTCACCTCGTAAGAGGCTGATTTACATTAAGTCTAAGCTACGTTAGGGTCTGGATTTCTCATGGAAATGCGTCTTGGTAGCAAAAGCAAAACCTCTTGTGCTCTCTGCATAAGAATCACTAATTCTCTCCTCCACATCATAAATCCCAAGGCATGCTCTGAATCCCAAATAAGTTTGATTTACAAAGAAATTAGGTGCACATTCTTCCTTGGACAATTTTCATTCCTGCCTCTGTTTGACTGTATTTCTCCATTAAAAGAGGGCACCAGAGATTTGCAAATCCCTTTATCTAGTGTGAGCATAGTCTCAGCTGGTGCTCTATTCTCCATCCAAATTCTTGAGCCCACCTTGCCATGCTGAGCATGGTGGGTACCCCTCTGCCCTCAAATTTAGCCCTGCTGCTCCACCAGCTCCGGCAGGTCCAGCAGTAGTTGTTGGTGCTCCCACTCCAGCAAACCACTTTGAATATCCACAGAGGATACTCACAGCCAGGCAAACATTTGCCACCCACTGCTGTGTACAAAGGAATTACTTTACAGTCTTAGAAATTGCAAAACTCATCTAATATCAAATACGTTGTTCTGTCTTTGTGTTTGTCCTGAAGAGAAAAAAGCCCATAAAACCTTGTAAAGCCAATTACACTCTATCAAAAAGAATTAGAGGAGTTTATAGAATACCTACTGTAAGAATCTGGCTCAGCTTGACAAACTATATTTTTATTATTATTATTATTATTATTATTATTATTATTATTATTATTATTATTATTATTATTTATTTGCTTTACTGCTTAGTCTGTAACTATACAATAATATTGCAAAGAAAAGAAAATGCTGACAGATCATGTTCTGCTTCCATTGGCAGTGCTGATGTTTTATATTTATATGACAAATATCCTGGCAAAGCTTGGTAACTTTTACGTTGTTTCCATTTTTTAGACATTGTTTTATACCTCTTTGGAGCAGCCTTATTAACCTCTGAATTTCTCCACTGGCACTGAAATGATCAAAAGGGTTGTTGTAGACACTGCAAAGCTGTCATTCCCTCAGCACCACAAACACTGCAGGTCCTTTCTTTAGGGAAGCAAAATATATTTCAGAACACTGTTCTTTGTGTTTGCATCAATGTATCATGCCATTACTTTCAATTTTCTAATTCTGCTTGCTTCCTATAGCAAAATATTCCAAAATGTCATATTTTTAACATTTGCTGGGCTAACTACTTCTAAATTTGAACTGTTTCAATCAATGCTATTTATGAAATTTCAAAACTTTGAATACTTTCTAGACAGTAGAGGAAGGTACATTTCTCTACTTTTCATTATTTTATAAACAAATAGAACAATATTGATTATATTAAATTAATATTATTGCATTGTTCATGTACCCATTTTCCTTTAGGCCTGGGCAAGGAAACACTTCTGGCTTTACATGCAAGTTGAAAACCTGTGGGACTGCAGAAAGTGTGAGGTTTTCTTTTGTGGGGAATTTTCCCACACATAAAGAAGCAGATTTTTTTCTTTTTTCTTTTTCTTTTTTTTCCTGTGGATTAAACCAAGAAATTCCCATCCAACCAAAAACTGGAATTTTATTTTTAAAATTATCAAGACAAGGGTTCTGAAGCAAGTGAGCTGGCAAGAAATGAAATCTTTCTGGGGAGCTTTGCACAGCATCCATCAAAGAGTGGACAAACATGATGCATTCACACAAGAACTGCCATTCCCCTTCTTCACTCAGTGTTTCTGTCTGGAAAAACCCTTGGATTCTGACTGCTCTCTTCTTCCTCTCCCTTTATCACATCCTCCACTTTTTTCTTAGAGTCCCAGAAACTCTGCAGCCCCAACATGAACCTCAAAGGGTGCACAAGAGAGGGTGCACAAGCTGCTGCATGGATGTGGAGGTGGCCTGTGGACAGAATTTCTAACCCATGGGATGAGCTCCCAGTTGGGACCCAGTGCAAAACCCCACTGTTCTCCCATCCATGAGGAGCTGCCAGGGTGGTGTCATGCCAGGCTAATGGGCATTGAAGGCTTCCCCCCCTGTGAGCAGCACTGAGACCCAGCAGCTCCTCTCTCCTCTGTTCAGACAGGCACTGGGAAAGCTGCTTGGAGCTCTCCACCAGGCTCAGTTCTAAAGGCTGCTGAATGCTGATTTCTGGGACTGAGCTGCCCTTCCAGGCCCCTGCTCAGCAAACCATTTCTCACTGAATTAAGGGAATTTGAGTATGTGCTTATGCATTTTGATGAACAGAGAGAGCCTGCTGAATCAAAGGAACTACTGAGAGCAGAGGCCCCTAAAAATAATGATTTTTTTTTTTCTCTGTAAAAGTATCTGTTATTTATTCCCAAGTTCTTATCTTGTTTATAACAAAGAATGAACAAAATTCCTTTCCCAAGGCTGGATGGTCCTGGAGCATATCCACATCAAACAGGGACAAAAATAAGCTTCGTTTTAGACAGAATAAATAAGCAAATGCTTCTTAGTCTCTTGCCTTCTATCTCTCTTCTTTTTTTTTTTTTTTTAAAAAAAATATTTATTCCTCTGTACACAGTAAGCATAAGGTATTATAGCCTTATCCAAACTCTGCTGGACTTGATGGAACTCTTTCTGTTGGCTTGAGTGAGTTTTGGAGCAGACCCGGTGGCAAAGTATGGCAATATCTTTATAGAGGCTTCTTATCTACTGTCTAGATAAAGGAGTATTATTAAAATACCAGCCCAGCACACAAGTCCCAAGAACTGTCAATATTCACTGTTTTCCTTAATTTAACATTACCCTGTTTTCTTGCTGAACATTCTTTAGGAGCATCAAATCTGTAGCACTGGATAGGCTTCCAACCTCTGGCTCATTTTATAGACAATCTTTAAACCACAATTTTCTCTGAAGTACATCACACACAAATATCAAAACAGCAGCTTCCAAACATTATCATAAACCATCTTTAAGATGAATGTGCCCCAAACCAGAAGTCCCCATGGTTGCAATAAGGATGTTTGCTGCTGGTGATTTCTGTCACTGGGCAAGGCACAGCCTGACAAGCTGTGGGTGCTGGGGCTGTACAGTCAGGGTGGTGTCCTGGCCTCTCCCCTGATAAATCCAGCTGATAAATCCACCGTGGCTTTGGTGAGAGAGGGAAACACGAAATGCCCACACTCCCTTCTATTTCAGCTGATGAATTTCACATGAAAGAGCTGGGACATTTCTGCCACCAAGGCCCTGACCCAGCTGTCACTGCTGCCACACTGGAGGGCTGCTGTGGAGGTGATTCCCAGTGGGACAGGCTCATGGCTCCTGTGGCACCCAAGTCCCACGGACAGATGCATCTCCCTGTTTGACAGGGATCTTCCAGACCCTTAAGTGCTACCTATGGAAACACTTGGCCTCTTGCATGGCACAGGGGGCTCCAGGGTGTGCAGAGAAGGACACAGAGCTGTGGAGGACTGTGGAGCACAAGTCTGACGAGGATCAGCTGTGGGAGCTGGGGGTGCTCAGCCTGGAGAAAAGGCGGCTCAGAGCTTCTCACTCTACAGCTCCATGAAAGGAGGGTGTAGCCAGGTGTGGCTCACTCTTCTCCCAAGTAACAAGCAACAGGACACAAAGAAATGGCCTCAAGTTGTACCACAGGAGGCTTAGATTGGATTAGAAGAAAAATTACTCACTGAAAGGGTTGTCAAGCACTGGCACAGGCTGCCCAGGCAAGTGGTGGAGTCACCATCCCTGGAGGTGTATAAAAAACATGTGGCACTTGGGGACAGGGGTCAGTGGTGGGCTGGCAGAGCTGGGTTAATGGTTGGAGTTGATCATTTTAGAGATCTTTTCCAACCTAAACAATTCTATGATTCTGTACACAAAACTGAACCAACAAGAGGCCCCCTGAGCTCAGCTCCCCCCTCCCACACTAAAAGCAGAGGGGTACAGGCAGGTCTGGTTCATGTATATATTGTTGTAGTACTCAATACACACTCAGAAATCTTAAAGCAGATTGTGACTTGGCATCTATAACTAAAAGATATTGACACACAGACACACAATGTGCTTTTGCAAAATGACTGAAAACCTGTTCTTTTCATGTTTCCTCAACACAAACATGACTGCATTTTGCTTTAGAATAACTTCTGCTCTGAGACATATTATCATGGGGTAAATGAATTTGTTACCTGTAGTAAATCCTTGTAAATAAAAGAAGCAGACCAACCTGCATATGTTTTTTTCTTTTCTTTTCTTTTTTTTTTTTTTTTTTTTGAGTTTGCATGCTTAATACAGAACTAGCAGGTTTAAAATCTCACTGAACATTCTATGTGAATTAACCAGATTCTAGAGTAATGTGGGAAGGAAAATAATGAAAAGTACAGCTTTTCATTTAAACATATGCAGCTCTTTTCATGCAGGGTTTTCATTTAGGATTTTTTTTCTGTTTTTTTTTTCTTTTTTAAATTACACTTTGCATTAAAGAACACAGCCAGTGTAAACACAGTCTGTAACACTTATAAAACAGTGCAAATTTTGTAAGTTTTTGGGAAGAAGTTGAAATACATATATTTATAATGGAGGTAAAATTGCTTTCTCAGTAGAAAAATACGTCTATTAAACACCTATGTTTGGAACTTAACTTCACAAAAGAGCAAGTTATAGTTCTATACTGTGTAATAAATTAATAGCTTTTCTAGATTTCCATTTTTAGTGTTAGTGTCAAATGCATGATAATTTTAGCAAAAAATTTGAGAAACACATATTATTTAGAACTTAATGAAAAATCATACAGACAATGACTAGTGAAGGAGGGCACAGAATAAAGAACTGGGGAAAGAAGCAATGGAAAAATACTGACCTCCATGAATTATTGCACATTTGAGATCATTTTCATGGCCTTTGGGCCAATTCTGGATACTTTTAAGTCTTAGGTCAGTGTTTGTTTCCATTTGACTGTAGGGTACAATTTAGGAACCACTGCAAAATGTCAAGGATTTACTGAACTTGTTGGCTGATGAAACCACAGGCAGCTGAGTGCAGAGTGCTAACTTTTATTCATGCAATCAAAGAGAACAATGCTAAAGACATACTGAAGCACAGGCATGGTTGCCTGCCTTAAAAATATTTTTGGGAACTTGCTCCAGCAGACCTTATTGAGACACAGCTCTCATGTCTGCTGTGTTTTCATTAAAGCCATGCCAAAACCTGCAAAACTGGCTTTTGCCTCCATTATTTAGAGCTTTTTTTTTCCCTTTAATACGGTTGTCTCCATAGCCTGACTCTGCCTTAAGCAGCTGAGTGTGGAAATCTCCATGGAACACACTGGTGCTCGCTGAGCAGCAACGCCTGATGCTGAGCACCTGTGTAACAATTCTCATCCACCAGCAGCAGGAATGCCATTCATGGCAGATAAATGACAGGATCCTATTTGACTGATGGGATCACTCACACAAGTGTGAAATGCAAGACCTTGCCAGTTGCTTAAAAACATCACTTTTCACTAGTTGCACAGACAGCAGAAATATTCCTGCTTCTGCCATATTTAAAAGGTACATAAATTGGCAGGTAGATAAATGAGAGAAAACTCTTTCAGGTGATTATCACTGCAATGAAAGTCAGACTTACTAGTAAATCTGAATAATTTAGCACTTAATCTCTGAATATTGCTGTAGTACTTCTTTTCTATTGCTGATGTTCTCACAAAAAAGGTTAATTTCAAATTGTAACTACAGGTTTTGGAAAAAAAAATCCTACATAAAATTATTTTACTACAAATCTTAGACCTTAAGAAATTCCAGATTAATGAATTGGCCAATAGACAGCTAAACTTATACTTAAATTATTTGGAAAAAGTCATTAAAAATCTGCAAAAAATTGTGAAATAATCTATAGTTGACAGAAAAATTGTTTAAAATCGTCCTAAACATCTTCCAGTATTCTAGTAAGTTGTTTAATAAAACCACATTGCTAACCATTGACTAGGAATACAACATGCCCCAATAAAATGAAGAGATGCTGATGGGAGCAGGTGATTTATTTTGTAGCAACTGTTAATATGCACTTTATTGATAAAGCTTCATCTGCATTGTTTCAGCTGGGCATCTTCTAAGAAGTATTTGCAAGACAATGTTACCAGGAAGGTTTCCTTCTCCTTCCTTTTCAAGAGGATTCACCCCTTGTGGTCTGTGCAGGAGATAATAATTTTTGTAGCATGATTAGAATTTCAAACTCTACTGTAGTCTATATGAAAAACCCAACAACTTCTGTGTATTCCAAATACTATTACTTAAATATGTATGGATGTTGGAGATCGCATACAGTGACCTTTTATCCATCCCAGATTGTAAACCTACTGTGAAGTGACAGGATGAGTTTTTTTCTCTCCCCCCTCCTTTTTAAAGAAGCAATAAAACTGTACATTAAAAGACAGGAAGGACATTACTGAGTTACAAAAGAATGCCCCCTTCGTCAGTAATTTGTAAATGTAAACAAAAAAGTTCAAGTAGAAAAGCAAACAAGTGTGCTGCTGCTTTGAATAGCTTTTCTCACCCCACACAGGTAGGGCAAAGTTCTTTACAAACATCCCTTCACGGTGGCCATGAAGCCTCTCTAAAGAGCCCTGATGTTCACTACCAGATGTCACTGGTGAAGCTGAGCTCCTTGGCCGATAAGGGTAGCAAGGGGTTGTTCCTGTGGAACTCCTGGGGGTCCTTGACGGCGTTGTTGAGAGGTAGCTGTCCGTTGAGGAGCGTCAGGGGGATGTTACAGTACGTGTGGTGGTTGCTGATGGAGGCCATGGGCAGCGTGGCTGCAGACACGTCGTACTCGTAGCCTCTGCAGTAGTGCCTCATGTGCACTGAGTCTGCCTGCTGGAAATCGCCTAAATCCGCCCGCGACTCCACCAGCGTGGCAGAAGTGCCTGTGACGGCAAGAGAGGGCACAGTCTGGAGGTCTCCAAAGAGGCCCTGCTCTGCAGAATCCAGGACCTGATGCCGAGACACCACCTCTTTTTTCTTCCCTGGCATTTCAAAGACTAGGCGCTTCCAAAACTTAGAATTCAGTTTGCTGCTTTTTGGTCCTTTCCACTTGACCACTGAGAGAAGTTTGATGGTGTGCTTTAATGATTCCACTTCATGATAATTCACCTTCCCTTTTAATTCAGTACACTCAATCAAAATAACTTTGATTTCTCCACTGACTAGCATGTTATGGAGTCTGTTTTCCATCTCAAAAATACTCCATCCTCTCCTGAGAACATAGTCTGGAGTTAACACGATAATGAGTCTTCTGCTTTGCTCAACACATCTTGTGAGATCTTCAATGTAGGCTACAAATTATAGAAAGAGAGAAAGAGTAAAGAATAAAGAAGTCTATCGTATTAAAACATCAGGCTTGCAATCAAGTATAACAAAATCCTGCATTTTACTGATCCGCACCATTTAAAACAATGGGCATTTCAATATACTCCAACAAAAATAGGATTGTGTATCACAATATATTTCTATTTATGGAGTACACATAGAAAACTCCTTAATAACACCCTCCATCCTTTCTATTTCTTCCTGTTCATTGCAGCAGAATGACATTTACATAACACCCTTGCTGTGTAGGTGCATTAGTGAATAAAAACACACAGTTCACTTAGTGAAAAAAATATAGGTCAAGATCAATGTAATGTTTGTGTGAATTCTAACATTAACATTGGTTATGATTAACACTGTGCTGAGGGAAGCACGCTCTGGGAAGCAGTTCACGTGTTCCAGATGCAAAGACATGGGGGTGCTGTGTATGAACCATAGCTTGCCAAAGCTCAAAAAGAAATGAACCCTCATCACATGCAGAAATTGTGCTATTGCATAGAAGCATCATGGTAGCTTTTTCTTCTTTAGGTATTGACCACAAAAGCACAAGAACATTCTTTGTGGCCCAGTGATCTGTTTTAATATCACAAACCTGTGCTTCTATGTACCCCAAGGTATTAACAGAGACTTCACAAGTGACAGGAACAAATGGGAAATTTAAACATATTGGAAGTATTTATTTGTTGAGACATCAGTGACAAAGAAAATAGTAGAATTATTTTATTCATGCATGCCAAGTAGTTGCAAACGATCAGTGTAAGCAGAAATGCCAGCACCATCAGCAGCTCCATGATACCAGTTTACTGAACTTCAAAATATTCATGAAGTTGGACTTTGATCCCTGAGTTTCATTTATCCCAGGGATGGTAGGGAAGAGAAGCCAAATACACTGGTCTGACATGGAACGGGATGGGAAAGAGATCTACTTACAGACCTGATCCAAAACCCATTCAAATGAACAGACTTCATTCAACAAACTTCAATGGGTTTTAGGTCAAGACCAGAAAAATTAAATCCCTTGAACAAAACCACTAAGGGCAGAAAATGTTCATTGGTTGCACAGCATTACAACTGCAAGCTTTGAGACAGGATATCTTTGTGTTTTTAAACTACATGAACCTCTTGACCATGCTACTGGGAATGTGCTGCCTGACAACACAGGAGAAGCACGTGTTAGAAATGAAGACTTGGACACAAGAGCTGCACAGAACAGATCTTTACTCAGCACAGGGCAGGACCTCTCTTACACATCTGCCCTCTAGCAGGAACAATAATTACAAATAACATTATTAATCAACATCTGTTACTGCAAGACTCATTTTATAGTCCCAGGCACCATACCACAGCATGCTTATTCACACCACTTCCAGTAAAGTAAATGGCTACAAAATAGGCCAACAGGAACGTTCTAAAATAGCTTATTTTCATGAGACTGAAGGCATAGTTAGCATCAAATCTGCCTTTACCAATGTTTTATTTCACCACTTAGCAGCAAGAAGAATTTCTTTCACAAATGGAAAAAAGGCAATTGCAAACATCCCACAGACACACAAAAATTTAAGACATACACATACATTACAAATGTCTATGCAACAATCCTGACTTTTAGTTAATGGTTTATGACTTTTTAATCATGCAGCATTTACAGTTTTTTTTTCCCCTTGAAATACTTTATGAGGAAAGCCCCCCATTGTTCTGCGTAAAATAGTTACTCATTAATGAAAAAAATTCAACATTAAAATCCATGGGAGAGGCAGTGGAGCGGGGAGAGCATCAGCAACAATGAGAAAATGATAAGCAGAACTGGTGAAACAAAACTTAAGGAAAGGTAGAAATGTTCAATACAATGGAAAGATATTATCCCAATGTATCAACAGCTCAGACTCTTCATTTTCTTCCTTTCTTTCTGCTCCCAAAAAGAAAGAATTTAGGTGGGAAGCTTCATCATTAGAGGTTGAATCTGCAAGATACAGTAAAACAACAAACTATCATGCATCTTTCCTGAGACATATTCATCCCTCCTCCAAACAACTCAGAACACTGCTACGCACAAGACAATTCTCTGCAGGACACAATACTGGGTAGTATCATATGTCCAGGGTAGTCTGAGCATGGCCATGCATATCCAAATGCATCCAATTGAGAAAAAACACAAACCAACAAAACAAACAAAAAAATCACTCCACTTTCATCTCTTCAAATATCCAGCACCAACCATTTCAACAGCAACGCCCCAGCAATAATCCATCACACCATCGCAATCAAAAAGTTGTCAGCCTTTGCCTTGGGCAAAAAGGGTGGAAAGAAGCTGGAAGAAATTTCCTGTTTTCTTAGGTGGACATTTCTCTCCTCTGTGCTTCTCACATCTCTTTTGGATGCCCACCTTCCTTACTGGGTATTGCTACACATTAGAGCTCTGTCCTCAGCTGACTAATGAACATCTTCACAAATGGTCATGAGGTGATCCCTCAGATTCCACGCTTGGAGCTGGTCACTAGTAGATGTGGCCAATGAACAGGGGACTTGTTGATGCACTGAGGATGAAGTACACTGAGTTATAAGAAACTGGAACCCCAAATTTCCAGCCTTCTGGTCCAGAAGTACTTAGTACTCCCACTAACTCCAGCTTGGGACTACTACTGAAGGCAGATGACAATTTTCCTGGAGCCTTCGGTTCCATTGGGTGCACTCTACAACATGTCAAATTTGCACAACTTGAACATTTCTGTGAAGAAAGGCATGGGGAGAGAGATTCCTGTCTCTGGAAATTCCAGATTTATTTTTCCCAGTGGTACCAACCTGACTGCATAAACCTCTGAGTCACTAAATCATCCACTCTCATTTTACTTCAGAATTGGAGACTTCCCAAAATACTGCAGGTTCAGTTGTCTGTCCCAAGTGTTCAGTCCATTAGAAGGTCCTAAATCCAAGCAATCTATATTGCAATGTGGGATGGAGAAAGGGTTGCTTTCACCTTTCCAGTGAGCTAAGAAATTATTGTCAGGCAATGGCTCTGTTTCATTTACAAGAAAAAAACTGAATAGGAACTTCAAGAATAATATCACCAACGAGTATCAAGTGTACATTTCCAGAGTACCATATTTCCATCAGATAAATATAACTTCATTGTAACTTCACTTTTGCTGCAGGAGGTGTCAACTTCAATGATATTTCATTGTAAGGGGAGAAAAAAAAATTGTCTTGACAAAGTCAGTATGGAATTATTCACTTTTAAATCCCAGGGATTGTATTTTATCATAAATTAGAATGCAAAAATAAGATGTCAGCGTTATATTGTTTTTACTGAAAAAACACATTTTAAATTTTGACTGTTTTCCCCCATCCCTGAAACACCATTTTGCAACATGGTACAAAACTGTTCTCAAAATATTAGCAATTCTCATAGGTAAAAAAAAAAATAAATAAAATAATTAACATTATATGTGGCTCTATCAGTAACTTACTTGCATCACATTCAATGCAAAGCCCAAGGAGGAACAGACAGCAAGAAGTGTTAATACTCAAACTAAAACATTGTTTTTTGCGTGTCTCCCTTGAGTAATGAAGGGAGATCACTTGACAGCAAATATGTGCTCACCAAACACCATCTACATGTAACAATGCTGAACTGTAGTTTGGCACACTGAAGAAGAGAATTCCAAGAGATGCATCCTGTTTGCAATTAAATCATCTGTAACTGCCTATGGAACCCTTAAAGAGCTACATTAACCACAGGCTGGAGGGAAACCTAATATGCAAGCAGACAAGGAGCAAGGAAATTAATGAACACTGTGGGCACAGAGTTGCTTACACAAAGAAATGACTGTCTAACCAGATTCAGATGATTTGCAGGAGTTGAGGGAGTAGGAAAAAACACTAGAAATCATATAAAATCCTATGGATATTTTTTGGAAACATAGTTTGCAGCACTACAAGAACCATAGAGTATCTACCATCAAACCCATGGCACTCTGAAAACAACCAGCCTTTCTGTGTTTGGAAACACTTAATCACTTAAGAAAGTTATTTATAGAAGAGTAATTCAGTTCTGGTTTCCTAGCTGAATAGTTCCCAAACCCTGAGTCTGATTACTTTATTATAACACCAATGATTTTGTGTCTTGCTTTTCCTATTTTATTAAATATGTTTTGCTTCTCTTAGCTTGGACCAGAACAGCTGAAACACAGAGCAGATTAATGGCCCCTTCCCAAAGAGAGCCCAATCCCAGGATGAACTGAGGGACAGCTGATGACTTCAACACAAAGAAACAAATAATGCAAATTAGGGCACTGTAGGACAGCCAGCCCTTCTCCCTTTTGTTCATATTTATTCCTCTCTCAGCTGATATCCGTGTGTATCCCTGCTGCCCTCATCCATGCCTGACATTAAAAGTAAGATTCACAAAGAGCAGACAACCAGGGACTTCTGAAAGGAGTTTGTGGAGCTGGATACTGCTCCAAAGAAACTGTATCCTTGCTGGGCAGAAGAAGAAATGGTAGCCAAACTAAGGCTCCTTGGAAACCCCAGACATTTGGTCCAACTGGATTTTCCTCATGCAGGAATCCAGGAAGCTAAAACTCACCAGGCAAAAACCACACAGATGGGCAGACAAAACTACAAAGTGCCAGAGCTACAATACTGACTGCTGTGTGCTTTCATCACATGCCTTAGACACTCTCCCCCTGTGCTGAGAGCTTCTCATTTTTCAGGTAAACAAATATTTTTATTCCATCACTGTTGTTCTTTTCACTGCCTGATCTCATACCCTGGGCTGAGCTGGAGTGAATTGTTGGTGTTTTTTCAATCCTGTCAAGACCAAATGCACACATGCTTAGAGAACAACTAGATTATTCTCTAATAGATATGTAATGCTGTAAAAGTCTAACTTGACAATTTTTACCTCTTCAATTTCAGGTTTTAAAATAATTTGCAGAAATCATGGATAAAAGTAGCTTCCTCTGATGTAGTCCTGATTTTAGAAGAGTGAAGTGCAAATAGATATTTTTCTCTGCAGACATCATCCTTAGCAAGATAAAAATGGCTCAGGTGAAAACATAACTCACCTTGTTAACCCTCCACCAACTACTCAATCTTCTCAGGTGTCCTAACATTGAATTGAAAAAACTCACAGAGCTTGAGATGCTTGTTGTGGGAAAGGGTTTGTTAAAAGAGCCCTGAAAATGAATAGGGTGAAAATAATAACTTCGAAGGAATTCAGTAACAACTGCAAGAGCATCTCAGGGATCGCAGTCTCTTATTCAGGTTAACTTGCCCAGTTACACCTAAGTTACCTATGCAGAGAGGTGTGTGTGCTGTCAGCTGTGACAGAATGAAGAACACTCATTCTGTTAAGATCAAAGTGTATTCTTTAAGAAAAAAATAGCTGCTACAGTACTTCCCATAACATGCAACTCAGTTCCTGGGTTACAAACTCTGTCTACATCGCCATGTCTCCCTGCTGGGTCGCCAGTCTTGCCTCCCAGCCGGCATGGCTGTGTGGGAGTATTTTCCATGTTGCCAGTTCAGGGACTTGGATCCATCCATGCTGCTCTCAGGCAGCACCAGGAGTCTGATCACAAAGGTCCTTGCTGGCCACTGTGTGATGGGCATCACTGAGGCCATGGCATCCTTCATGGTGGGTCTCCCTCCCACTAGGACAAAATGCTCCAGTGGGATAAAATTTGTATTCCGTCAGGGCTCAGAAACCAACACCTGCTGCAAAACACAACTCAGCCCCATCTGACCTGAACCCTGGGATCTGTTTCCCAATGGTGAAGAGGTGGCCTCAGTCCCCACAGCCAGCACCTCTGACTTCCTGGGGACAGCAGCAGTCGCTCCATGGACATTTCTGGGTCAGAGCTGAAATCAGAGCTTGGATGTGCCCTGGGGAGGAGGTGGCTGTGGGTGTGTCCCAGCACAGCACATGTGCCTGTCATCTCCCCCTCGGCTGCACAGGGACATGCAGAGCCCACCACAGCTGTCCCCAGAGGTTAGCCATGAGCCAGCTGGACAGAAACACAATCAAACTTGTCCCTGAATTTTCCCCAAGTCAGCTTTTTAGGTTGTTTGCAGAACTGCGCAAGAAAATTAATGAAATATTATTTAACAAATCTATTTTTTGCCTGCTCTCAAATGCAGGGAGCAGCTGCAGGATGCCAAGAAGGAAGCGAATGGTGCACACCCTCCCGTGGCAGCTCCTCACAACTGCAGGGACTGCAGGAAGCACCAGCCGTGCACAGCTCCTGCCTGCACTGCTGGGGTGACACACACCAAGGTACACACGATAGAGAAGGACACACATCAGAACAGGGAGTGGGAAATGATTACGTTGATGAAAGTAATTTACACTGAAAGATGAGGAAGTGAAACGTGAGAAGAGATATTTCCTAAAATAAAACTATGACTGTGATCAACCCCCTGTTTTTCTGTAGAAATCTACCCTGGAGAGCTATATATTTTGTTACATCTGCCAATTTTTGAGACAGTCACTCTAAAATATGCTATGTTTTCCTCTGAAGTTTCTAGCAGGCCCATTCCACATCACACTGCCTTCACTAAGCACTGCAAGTTTTTGTGAGAGTGGTGAGTTTTAGGCAGAACACAGCCACTTTCCACTACTCCAGGGCACATGAAGAGCTCACAAATGCAGGAGGCCAAGTCTTCCCTCCTTCCCCATCCCCCCACACTCCCTCTAGCCCCTCTTGAAATGAAGTGTTTCCCCCCATATCTTTTTCAAAGCTAAAGCATGCAAATCACACTCATTTCAGCTCCACATTTTATTCTGCCTTGTCATTATGTCTGATTAGGCGTTCTTGAAGCTCCATGTGTTAGAATCAGGCCTTTTCATAATACTGAAGAAGTGAGTTTGAGAGGAAAGAAGAAGGATTAAATCTGTGAATGTTCATAAATGAGAACTGACATTTTCAGGTACCCTACATTTTCAGGAGAGGTTTAATGAATACCCAAAGTGATGGCAAGTATTTGCTGAGTGCCTTGCTGACAAAAATAGACAAAATAAAATACCAGGCTGGCTGGAACAACAATTGGAAAAAAGAATCTCATTTCGGATTAATCTGTGCTTCAGCATAGTTATCATTGAAGGGTTAATTTTAACCTTCTTAGTTCACTTGCATAATTGCTATGTATAACTCTGCTATATTGTTGGATATGAAACAACTAGTTACAACAATTCAGTGGTTTTTACCAGAAAAAAGATGTATTTTCTCTTAATAATATTTAAAAAATTGATATCATTTTCTTGTACTGTAAGAAATAAGAAAGCCATGAACCAAGTCCCCTTTCTGTAAATTGTCACTATGGGAGGAAAACTTACACCTTGCAGGGGCAAAAAGAAGAAGTGAATCAGCTCTAAACTAGGAGCTGAAAATGCATGGGATAAATTCAAGCCCCCTGCACAGGCCTTTCATGATCTCTGGTGAGGCTCTGACTCCTCTTTCCCAGTGGTAAAGGGTTCAGAGTTCTCTTTCCAGTGCTCTCAAAGGTCAGAGAAGAAACAGGCTCTGACTTCTGGGTCAGGCACTGGCGCTTGGCACAGTGAGGCAGTTTCAAGTCTTTTGGCAGGCAGGTTGTAATGCAGCTATGCTCGAGCTGTTCTGTGTGTGGGGACATCTGCTCCACTACAGCCACTGCTTTGTTCTCTTGTTCATATTTCCTACACAGTAGCACATACAGAGAGAAGCTCATGTTCTCCTCTGTTGTTTTTATGAAAGCAATTTGGAGATGGAATTTGTAACAAAAAAGAAAAAGCTGATTTTTCACAAGTGTAGCACTTCAAATAAATGTGATATTACAACAAACATTCTGTGCATTCAAAATTCATCAACACAATGGATACAATTTGTGGTCTTTTTGGCTTGCTCAAAAATGAGTCTGGTAGAAGAAATGCCATAACTACCACTAGGAAAGCAATGACCTTTGGTAGAGACATCCAAAGGTGCTGCTGAATCTTATGAGACTTCCAAGTTAAGGAAAAATCCAAAAGACAGGAGAAAAGATGACTTTTACCTGTAATGCTGCTGTAGAGAAAATGCTAATCACTGAAAATAAATAATAATCCCATTTTCAATCAAGTAACAAAGATGATAAAATCCTTTTAGAAAGTTTCTTGCTTCGTTACCTGTGTTTGATGTAGACATTTTGGATTTGGTATTGCTTGCAGTGCTGCAGCCTTCCCTGTAGGAAGGCCCAGCTCCTGTTCCCACTGAAACTAATGGCAGCTCCCTCTGATTTCAGTGGTTCAGGTACAAGCTCTAACAGAGAACTCAAATTTGCAGTACTGAGGAAACATTTCCATTCTTTGCAACCACTTCCCAAGGTTTTCCATATCTAGTACTTATCACACAGTCCAGGCCTTTGTGACACATCAGGCAGAAATAAAACTCTAAGGTCAGAAATACTTACTTCCACTAGGGATCAGGTCCCTATCTGGAATGAAGAGCTTATATCCATAGTGCTTTTCTAGAACATCTGGCAGAATTTCAAGTGCAAACTGCTCCTCTTCATTATTATCACGATCTAATGCATCAGGATCCACTTTGGTATATGAAAGATAAGCATCATATTCTTTGTTGTCTGCAAGAAAACAAATCACGTTCAGCCTGCTGTTTGCAAGAACACTACAAGGAACACAGGAGAGTACTGGTAAATTGTTTTATTCCTTGAAACCACCAAGCATTTCCCAACAAAATGGGGACTTTTCACAGGAACATATCATCTGGGTTCCAGGCAGAAATCACATGAATCCTTTCAGTTTTCTTCTGCATGCTGAGCAGTAACTCTGCTCCATGTGGTCAGATATGTGTTGAAAAGATCGTGGGCAAAATTTTCATCCAAACACAAAAGTGGAAACTTTTATTTTAAGCCTTTACATATTTGTAATGCAATTCTTTCAAATTCTATTCCTCAAGAGTTCTAGGAGTATGCTAAAGTTTTGAGCTTGGAAAAGTTTTGAGCCTGGAAAGTTTTGAGAAAGGAAAATTTCCTTCCATATGTAATTGTGAGAAAAGACATTACTTAATTCAAATGAATACTGACTATTCAGAAAACAATGCCAAATACAAACAGTTCAAAGTATTTTTTTCAGAAAAACCCATAGTTTTAAAAATCATTATCATAATTTTAGATCACAATCCATTTGATCCAGGAGATTTGAAATACTTGGGGATGACATTATAAGAGAGACAAATAACTCCCGTAAGGGGCAACACTCCTCCTCCTCTTCCTCCTCTCCTCCTGCCCAGCATTGGGGCTTGTCTCCAGCTCTGCTTCTGCTAAGAGCTCATGAGTGTGCCAGGAGCAGAAGTGGTGCCACCACAGAGCTGGGGATCCATGTTGGGATCAAACTGTCTTAGTGACATTTCTCTTTGTATTCCTCTGCAGTAATGGAAAACAATATATTGAAAAAGTCAGCCTTCAGCAATCTGGTCTCCAGGGAAGAGCACAGCTGCCATTATTTACAGAAAATGAAAAATCAAATAGTTAATATTGTGTGAAGAAAACTGCATGAATGGAGGGTTTCTGAGTACCAATTTTCTGTAAATAATTGTGCATGTGAAAGATAATTAAAGCAGTTAAAATTCCTCAATATATTCTGATAAAAAGAGCAAATACCTAATAATAATAATAAAAATGATCTCTTGATGACCTTGAACTGATGGTTACTTATAATTCCTGACACTAAGCCAGACCCATGAGGGTCAGAGCTGTAGTCAAAGCATGTGAATAATTACATATTTGTAAAAGGCAATTTTCCTGGTGTCACCACGGCTGTAGGGGAGGATGGAAGATGTCCACCTGGCTTGCTGACATTCCTCTGAAGTCAACAGGCCAGCCAGCTTTGGAGGCCTATCCAAAAGCTGCCACACTGTCCATAAGGAAGCCTGCCAGAACCTTTTAAGAGATGCCAGTGATCCCAGAGGCAGCATCCCTGCAAAGGTCTGAGAGCTGTGCGAGGGCAGCAGAGCCCTGACATCCCTGAGTGCAGAGCACCATGAGAGCTCCCTGAGCCTCCTGCCCCCGCGGGGGCACAGCTGCCCTCCCCAGTCACCTCAGCTCACAGTGCCAGTGAGCAGGATGTTGACAGAGGCAGCTCCCTCGGGCTCCTGGGAGCTCGTGTGTTGCTGTTTCAGCTCCATGGCCTCAGCTCGCTCCTCACAAGCTTCATGTACCAGGACAGGGAAGAAGGAGCTGCCCGCATTCACCCACTGCTGGCTCTGGGGGCTCTGGGAGCAGCACTGTTTGGAGCCATTTCCTAAATGGATCCTTTAATCTTCCTTGTCATTTTCTCTAAAAGCAATGCTACACACAACACAGGAAGTGACTGTGTCCAACATTGCTTATGTGGGATATTTTTAGAAATAGGAATAATGCAGATCTGTTGAGCTCCAAATCTTCTTTTTTAAAGAAATACACATATAAGTGGAAAATGACCCCGTGATTGCATCTATACAGCTGAGTGCTCATGGGAGCACTGCATGCTCCCACTACTGCCTACATGAGAAGAAACAAACATCCCCATATATGCTTTGACTTCTATGACATTCTGCCTCCATCTTTCATCCTGCAGGATCAGAATGAGACACAAAGCTGTGGAAGGTCTACAATTATGCACTGGGAAAATAAAAGGTTGTTTTCAAAATTTACAGGCACACAAAATCCCCAATGTACTCATGGGGTTTCCTCTAAACAACCAGAAAACAATATTGTTTCATAAATTAAAAAGTGATTGAACCAAGGAAATTACATGAGTAAAAATGCAGTAGCTTCACACTGAAAACACAGGATAAACAAATTGAAGAAGGCTGGAGGAAGTTACCACTTTTGGTTGGTGTGAAGCAGAGATATTATGTTGGTATAATACCAAGGTGTTTGAGGTAAAGTACTTCTCAAACCCCATAATATCACCTTTCCCTTTGTCCTAGGTACCATCTAAAATCCCCTAGATGTCATTCCATCCATTCTCCAAAACTCCTATGGATTTCATTGTACTGGAACCTTTTCACACCATATCTACCCATTGTGAAACAGAAACATTTATTACTGAAATGCCAATTGCAGAAAGCAACATGTCTATGCAGCTGCACATTGTTTTGGCACTATGGAAAATGTGTTCCCTGCTCTCTTTTACATCTAGAAACATTAGAGTTTGTAGATGTACCATTCCTGTGAGAGACTGTGTGACTGCTAAGTGTTGCAGTGGGCTATGGCAAGCGCCTGTACTTGAATACTGCACTTTCTCTCTTTAGCAGATACTACTTAGATACATATTAATAGCATATTAATTATGAACTAAGTGTTAAGAACATAATAATAGGATTTAAAGACTGGGATTTAGTTTACCAGACTTACTCCAGCTTCACAGGAGAAGGAATGTTCTATATTCAAGAGAATTGAAGCTTCAATTTAAAAATAAAAGTTTAGCTTTAGGCACCAAACAGAATATATGCTAGTGAGAGAGAAGGTGGGGGAAGAAAAACGGAAAACAGTCTAGTTTATTCCTAAAGATACTCCTCAGGCAAGCTGTACATTCCCACCAAGTTGTTTACAGTCTCCCAAATAACTGGGGTAACCAGCTAGCCCCATAACAATCACCTCTCACTAGTCAGAGGAGGTCACTGGTAGCCTGGTGGCAATTCAATGAAAATGCTTCATGAAGAACACCTGGTGAAAGGCTGCTCAGGTATACAGTGTGGATCTCAGGAGAAGGGACCCTCGACACATGAACGTAAGGAGTTCACAAATGACATGTGAGCCTCTGTACCAGACTCATGAACAATTCTTCTGGCTTCCTTTTGCTCATGACAGAGCCATGAGCAGTGATATTTCTGTGGAAAGACACATTGATCTCAGGGGGCTTTGGGAGAAAGTCTTAGAGCTTTGCACTGTTGGGTGCTTAGTAGTTTAAACTAGCAGCAGGTATCTTTTAGGATGCATTTAGATCTCGCTACTTTGGGTCTCTGAAATATTTCCATTGCACATATTGAGTTTCCTGTGCAACTGCTTACCATCAGCTGCTTCATCTCCTCCAAAGTTCTGTCTGTAGAACAGCATTAACTCTATGTTGTAGCACTTATAGATGGTCACGAGCAAAATAAGCAGAAGAAGGATGGCTCCCAGTCCTCCAGCAAGTTCTATTTTGTAGATCAAATCTAAAATTAGCAAGGAAAGGCAAAAATGTTATGATCTTTCCAAGCTATATTTTCTCTAATCCACTGTAAAATTCCACATAAAATTGTGCAGCTTCCAATTATAAACACCATAACATTCAAAATGCCTAATAATTTTGTCCATTACCTATCACTTAATTTTTCTAATTTACTCCACCTACTGCCCATCTGAAATAACCATCTGAAATCCAGAATGCATATGAGGCTATACATGGAAATCTCCTACACAGGAACTATGTAGTGATTTTACACAGAGGAGTAACCAACTTTTAATGAGCTGGTAGAGTTTGAAACTTCTGCACTGGCAGAGTGCATCAAATGCTGTATGTATAGCATATGAGAACAGATTGGGAAGGATCTGGTCCCTCCCCCGCCAAATTAGACAGCTTTGGTTTTATATTTGTGAAGCCTGTGGACAAACTGATGTGAGCTGCCAAGCCAGGGCTTCAGCTGGATCACTGGAAAATGAGTTGAGCTTGCAGAAGCCCAAGATAACACAAGAAGCCTGGAGCCCACATGAGGCTGCAAAGACACTTTGTTTGTCATGGCTGCTAACAGACTTCTCACATATTTGAAGAGTTCACATACTTCAATGGGACCTAGTGTTAGTTAAAATTTTCTACTCAGATGCTTTTGTTAGGAAACACCACAAGAGCTCAAAGAACTTCACAAATGCATCCAGACACAGTGATCCATCTTTTACAGCTGGGGAAACAGGCTTAGAAAAGAGAAGCAGCATGTTCAAGGTCAGTCAGCAAACCAATGACAAAGTGGGATAAAACCCCTTGGATGCCAGTCCAGAGCTCCATCTGATACAGGAGACTAACTTGAACAGCATTGCTCTTTATCCTGAAATGTCCTCTGGAAGTAATATTGCTCCTAACACCACCTGGTATATTACTTATCCATAAAAGACACGGGATGACAATTTGACTCTCACAGCCTGTATTAGTTCAGATAAGACGTCATGAAGATATTTTCTGCTGTGACAAACAGTGAGAACTTGCCAAACTAATACAGGTGGGACAAAGTTTTTGTGATCTTTACACTTGTAAAACTTAGGTCAGAAAGAATTACTTGTATGTCATTTGTGTCACTTTCAAGATAAAAAGGAAATTAGCTGCATATCTTTGGGGGTTATTCTTGCCTCGCTGTGCTTTATATTTCAATAATTAACATCAGATGTCAAGCTATTCCCAGTTTACAGTATCTCTGATGTCTGTCTGGCAAGAAGTCATGGACTAATAGATGGAAAAAGTCTATTATAATAGCTATTTAATCTCTCTGAGAACACAGGGAATTCATGGGACTTTTACTATACTGCGTGATAAAGCTGCATGTGCTCTGGGGGATAAATCTAGGCAAATGGAGAACAGAGTTGGTTAAAATAACTTTTGAGGGGAATTTTATTTTAATTGTACTGAATCCTTTTTTGCTAGGAAACTGAGATGATGGCAAAGCTGCCAGCTTGGAATGAAAGAAAATGCTGAGCCTTGCAGCTGACACAGGAGCACAGAGTTGTGCACACTCTATTTGTTGGGGGGAATAGCAGGGTGTTAGGCAAACACACAAAATCCAGCTCAAAAGGCAAAACTGATCAGCTTTTGCACATCCAGTGTCTGTCCTTCTGCCCCATTGACTTTCCTAGAAGACAGACATAAGGAGACAGAAAGCCAAGGCTTCTGAGCTGACTTTATTTCCATTCCAAAGTGGAGGCAATGAGAGGAACCCTGGATGTTCAATTTTCTTGCCTACTCTACATAGTCTTGGCATCTGATTAATTCCTTCCTCCTTAAGTGGTTCTCACTGAGATAAATAAGGAAGCAGCATATCAAACACTAGAAAAGAAGTTGAATCTGGTCTCAGTGCTATAAGAGTGACTGAAAAATAACAAATAATAATATTTATAGTTTCTAATGTAAAATAATGTAGAAAGACCTTGCCACAATATATTTCACATATTACAGACTATGGTCTTTAAAATAGCAAAAGTCTCATAAATACACAATAAATGAGAGACAAATACATTTTAAAAGTTCTTCAAAATTTAGTGATGAATCAGTATCATACCTCCCCCACTAAAATTAGTTCCTTGCATGTCTTGATTAAAGACAGCCTCCTTGAAAAAAATCACAAGAAAAAGTCATCATAATATTTACTTTTATCTCAATTCACTACTTCTTGCCACTAAAAGCATGGTCTGACATTATTCTGTGGTTTCTGACAAGTTATTTATCTTTCAAAACAGTTATATTATAGACTATGTAGACTTCAGTCACTGAAACGCTGGACTGCTTTCAAACTCTTTTCAGGGGAATCCTCAACTATTCCCACAACTAAGGGATGACTGGGTGTATATTGCATTTCCATGTTATTTGAGCACCAAATATGCTAGGACAGCACAGAGGGGAAAAAAAAAAAAAAAGGAAACCAAACCCAGGATTGTCCAGAACTTATTTCTGAATTGCTTCAAAGCAAGTAACAATGTGGTCTTGAATTAAGTCAGTGAAGAAGAATGTGACAGCAGACAGCTGTGTTCAGGTCTTAGGAGTATGTCTGATTCTGCCTTTGCATTGGTAGCTTTGGGTTTGAAACTTGATTTGGTTCTTTTTCAGGTGAAAACCCCAAACAATAAAAATAATCCTAGATGATGGCACATGATCTGGGGCTACTGATCTCCTGTATTCTCCTGAAGGTTTGTGGGGACTGTACCACTAATACTGAAAAAGACCTTAATGTATTTTCCCTGAAACATCTGAACAACTAATTTTTCTATTTTTTTTCCAAACAAATGATGTGCTAAAAATAACCATCTGATGTCAAAACAAGAACTAGAAAATCTTATACAACATCTACAACTTAGATTTTGGGTTTATTCCTATTTTTCATCCAAACCAGAAAAAAACCAGAAGAGGGCAGGTATGGAGACAGAACAGAACTACAAGTGACTCTTGTCAAATATGGATAATGCAGCTCTTAACACCTAGGACTTTGGAGGGAGGGGGATTTCTCTGACTGAGAGATCTGTGCTGCAGCAGCTTGCAGTAGAAATCCCTTCTTTGACACACACAGAGGATGCTGGTCAACAGCTTTCTGCAAGTCCTGCCCTAAATCTTGTCCCAGCTCAGTAAATACAGTAGTATTTCCTGTCTCATGAATATCTACAGTAAAATCTAAGCTGGAGAAAGTTAGGATAAGAAGTAATTAAATCAAGTTGTAGAAAGGAAAAGTTCAGTCAAGTATTTGTGAAAACTTAATAAATAACAAGCAGGACAATGGGACAGGCAGTCAAAGGACACAGTAAAATATAGTGGTTATTTTAAATGACACTTTAATAGCTTGAAAATCAACTACTGAGAGTGCCTGAGGGGAATATAAGTTTTCTACAGCCACAGTGCAGAGAGAAATGAAATAGTAGCTGCAAAGTGATCCTTTCCACCTCCAAATTCTGTATTCAGCAGTGCTTCTTCCATAATTCCAGCAGAGCTCTGAAATATTTGCATTTTTTTGTTATAAATAAACCAAGATGTTATTCTACTATATGCATACATCAGAACATTTACCAGTGCCAACAGAGATATACTTACTATCAGTTGTATATTTATAAGGTTCAGGAAGGAAAGGTAGAACGCTTTTTGCACTAGAGAGACTAATCCTTCATCATGATGACCAGATTCCCTAATTAAAGCTGTGACAACCTGTCTGTCTGTGATCTAAAGATCACAGAATTCTAGAATTGTTTTGGTTGGAAAATACCTCCCAGATGATTGAGTCCAACCATTAACGCAGCTACCAAGCCCTCCACTGAACCGTGTCCACACCTACATGGCTTTCAAATCCCTGCAGGGATGGTCACTCCAGCATCCCCAAATCCTTTGCCACCTGGCAGCATTCCAGCCCCTCTGCCCCAGCCTATAGCTTGCTGTGACCCAAGAGCAGGATCAAGCACTTGGCCTTGTGGAACCCCATACAATTGCTCTCAGCCCATGGATCCAGCCTGTCCAGATCCCTCTGCAGAGCCTTCCTGCCCTCCTGTATGTAAGTTTGTAGTAGACAGTAGAATGATTTGCTAGATCAACATTCCTTTATTCCAACTTTGCCACAGTGAAAGCACACAAAGGACTGGAACTGACCTTCCAGGTTTGCCTAATGAAAACAATTCTTCTCATGTTTTGGCAAAATAATTTACATCTAAGAATGATGTCAGAGGTCTGGACAATGTATCAACTCTTTAGTCAATCTCCTGTGCTGATCTGTGGTTTCACGTACCAGCTTTGCCCCAAGGGTGGAACCTTCCTTTGCTTTCCCAACAATTACTATCTTACAGCTTTTGTATTTCCTAATATGCTGTATCTCAGAGAGATCACCATCCAATCTAAATGTCAGCTTAGTTATGAATAGGAGAGCTGATTGAACAAACAACAGAAGAATTGCCATGAGATACTGTTACACTCCTTTGATAACGACTTTTTCAAACACAGAGCACAGTTGCACTTTTAAATTTGGCACATTCAAATCCAAATGGTTTCCCTTCTGCTACAGATAATTTGTCAGTAGTGGTGTTCCCCATTCAGGAACAGTATCAGGCAAGATGATCATGATAGAGTAACTCTCCACGGATTTGTAGCTCCCACTGCATGTTTTCCTTCCTGATGCAAAATGCTTGGAGACAGCTTGAAGTTTTCAATTTAAAACACAAGGCCAGGAAGTGGAGAAACACGAGAACATCTGACCTCACTGCCAGGGCACCTATTCTAAGGAATGTATATTTTAACTGGCCTAGTCAGACAATTCTGGGTCAAATTCATAGGTTGTTTAGTCCAAAATACTTCTCTTGATTATTGGTGCCTTATTGCACTGTATTCCAGGCAAGTGCACCACCTGCAAGGCCGATTTGCTAGACAAAGAAGAACAATCCACAATTTTTTCCCGCAAATGGTAAACTGAAGCGGTACATAAGCACACTTCAGCTCCAAGCAGGCACACAGGAATCCAGCCTGGCACAGGGAGGTCAGCAGGACCTCTGATGTGCTGCTGCTGAGGCAGGTGAGATCACAGATAACTAAAAAGGGAAAATTACCTTTTTTGCGCAGAAGAACACTTGCATGTTTCCGTCCATTTCTGTTCTCCACGTGACACGTGTAGTTAGCCAGGTCTGCCTCCTCTACAGCATCAAAGATCAATGTCAACTCAACTTCTTTTTCTCCAAGATGTTCTCTGAGGAGTCTGAAAGGAAGGATACAGCCTTTGCTTTAACTGAATTAAAACAGATGGCAGATGCCCAAAAGCACTATGATTTCTCAGCACAAGACAATGTTCCTTGGCCTCCTTCACTCCTGGAGAAGGACTTAAAAGAGACTCATGTTGCCTGAAAGAGGCTTCACAGAGGCATTTTTCATGACCACCAGGAGGCTTTTTCTCCTGCCATATCTAGTGAGGAGCTGAACCAAGCACAGGAAGAGTGGCCTTGAGCACAATGGTTATGTGTGGCTTCTTTACATTGGCTCCATCAGAATTAAATGCAGAAAACCATGCTTCTTTTAAAAGAAGCAACAAATATCCATTTTCCAGAAGCAGGAGGTGCTACTAAACCATCAGTGAACAAATTACAGGGCAATTTAAAGGCTGGGTATTGTGATACATTTTAATTCAGTCTGGAAAATCAACAAAAGGAGCTGTGCTACTCTCTGGAATTTTCCTCTGTTTTCTGGCTTTTAAGAGGAACAGTATCTAGAACAAGAACTCTCTGCTCCTTTGAGAGGAAAGAGGAGACATGCAAAATCCCCACAAATTGAATAAAAGTGCTAGCAGACTTTCAGGCCAGAGGTACAGCCTTTTCATGTCCTTGTTCTCATGTGAACATTAAAAAGAATGCAAAGTAAATGCAAGTTTTCTGTTGCTGACATCAAGTCTAAAAATACAAGGCTTATCACTTGCTCAAGAAAAAGTTGGTTTTCCTTTAAAAAGGAAAATGTAACATCAAGTAAAATCCACCAGGTTAATTTGACCCTGTTTGTGTTATGCTGCATGAGAGGGTAAAAAGGAAATGTGGGGTATTTGTGAACTCACCACTGTACATGGCACTCCAGTGAGTCTGTTCTCTGAAAAGAGTGTGTGCAGCACTGTGAGGTAAAGGTATAAATAAAACCCAGGTTCACCAAAGATGAAATATTTTCTCCCAAGACCGAAAGGAGGAAACTGGACAGGAAATAATGAACCAGAGTGCTGCCTGCTCTGGATGGAAACTGCTGCTGGAGACATTTACAGTTGTCAGTAATGGCAAACCCCAAGCTTCTCCATTATAAACTAAAGACATTTTGTGTACACACATTTCCTTATGTACATGATGTCACATGGCATCCATGGAACTCCAAACAAATCGAAAACAAATCAAAAGAGAAATTTGAGGGCATTGCACTAGACAATCAAAAATGCAAGCCTGACTGCTATAAACACATCTCAGCAGTAACTCAGAAGAGGCACCAGAGCATCCACAACAAGTCAGCCTCTTTCATTGTGGCAGCTTAACTTGCAAAAAAGCAAGTGGAAAAACAGTTTAAAAGCAGGGTAGGGTGTGTGTGTGCGTGTGTTTTGCATTTGAAAACTAATTAAGTTTGGATTGGATAATTAAGTTACCACCTTCCCAAGCACACTAGTCATGTGAAATGTCCATCAAAAGGTGTTTCTCAGAAGGAATGTGATAAACAACTTATGTTTACAGGACTTTCATGGGAAAGTAACTAAAACTATGAAAACATCAGAAGGCTCAATTTTCAGGGTGACAACACAATATTTTTGGGCTAGAAAAGGAATACAATATCAACAAATAAGATCTTGAAAGTGCAACAGCATTTGCTGCACACCCAGAAGATGAAGCTCTGTCCCTGAGTTGGGGGAAAGTTGACCAGCATCATCTGTCAATACATGCCAGCTCCCACAAGTTGAGAAAAGAATAACTCACTCTTTCTAGGCTGCTGAAAAAACTGTAAGAGTAATTACAACATTTAATGCACAGTTAAATCAATGGTGCTTGACAACTCACAACAAACAGGATGGAAAGAGAGAAATAAAAGGTGAGTGATGTAAAAACAAGACTCAGTGCCTTATTTTTCTTCAGGCTGAAGCACTTTATTTGATCTGAAACAAAACATTTTGTCTAGTGAATAATTTTCAGGTAAGAATATGAATTTTAAAAAGGAAGTGTCATTACAGAATAGAAATGCTTTATTTGAAAATTATGCAATGGTTTGGATTTTTCAAATCCTTGGTCATATTTTCCCAGTGCCTGTATGCACTAAGTTGAACCTGAATTTAAAACACTCTTACTTTGAGACCATATTTTCCTAAAATTTTTAGTTTTTATACGACCACAGATAGAAAGGCCATAAGAAAGGTTCACTTGGGTCTCTTTGCAAGACAGAGGCATTAATTGCAAACCTTAATTCTCCTGAGAGTTGGGACCTAGCAAAAAGGAAACTTTCATTCTTTATAAAGCTGAGGATCTGGACAGTGAACAGTGTTATGAAGTCGACTCCCTCCCTTCTACTCCTTAACAACAGGCTGTAGATGAAAGGACAGATCTGTGTGTACACAAGCACCTCTCCAAAGCAAAGTCATTCAACCAGCAGCACGACAGTGACCTTCCCTCTCGCTTTCTTGCATTGTGTTTCTTATTCTCTGCCCTGAATTTGTCTACTTGAGTAGTATAAGCTTTTCAAGAGAGGGCTGTTGCTTCTGTACTTCTCTGCAAAGTACCCAGCACATCAGCCAGGCAGCTGTGGGAGTTCTGCCTCCTGCCCCCAGCACCCCCTTCTAACAGAAAACAACATCCTCATCTTGTTTGAGTGTTTCATAACCATCCGTTGACTTCTGTGGGTGGTAAATCACTCAGAAGAAATAAGGCTGCCATTCAAAATGTCTCCATTCACCTCTTTTTATGCCTCTAGGATGAGTTAAACTTTTCTACTTTAGAAATGGACAAGAGAGACAAAACAAGGACAAACATACTTTACAAGATGAGCATTATGACTATTCTGTTGCCTGAAGAGGAAAAAAAAGTAACTCATAGGTGACTTAGAGAGCAATATTTATGTATGAAAATAATTTGCCATGGCAGAGAGCCGGTGTTGAAATTTGCTGTGGGCTGCTTTAATAATTAGGTACAACTGACAACTTTGCAGACATGCTTAAAGACTCTGATTGCTTTTTTAATAACTCTGGTTCAATTTATATGACATTTTTATTACTTCTGTGAAAAACCCACCTGGCAAGCAAAGTCTCTTCCTCCTTTCCCCCCACACGTCTAACACCTGGGGATCTTAATTCAAGGGAAGGCAAGGGGGTAGCTCAGACAGGGCATAATTGCCTCCAAGTTCTGCAATGCTGATGAGTTACATTTTATTGTGAGGCTTTGTTAAAAAGGTCTAATAAATACTGAAATCCAAGAGTTACACAATTACTCTTGGTGAAGGGTGCTTACCAAATCCCATGGGATTTGATTTGAACAGGAATGCTCTGTTACATGCATCCTTATTTTAGTGCTTTCATGACAGCACAGTGAATGCTAACCTTGCACACTGGGTTTCTGCTCCCACACGTCATTCATTTGCAAACCTGAACTCTCATCATACACAGAAAATCCAGCAATGGACAGGCACAGTCCAGGGTAAGGACAGCACCATAAATTCAGAGTGCTACTAAATTTGTGAACTAATTCAGGATGGGGGATGCAGAGTTAAAATGTACCAAAGGAACAGCCCATGGAGTATCTTGTTCTGGTTCTAACAATTCTGTACTACTCCTAGCTTCTGAAAATGAAATGTTCTGGTAATATCATAGAGAAGCAAACTGATTAAAAAGCCATCTAACCAGCAAGTTCACCATGGCTCATCAAATTTGAAACACACATGACAATTTTTAAATACATCAATAAATACAACTGGGTGGAAGATGTGGGCTGCCTCAGGGCACTGACAGAACAATCAGCGCTGCTTAGTTCCCCTGAAGCAGCATACCTGTAATGGAACACAAAAACAAGAGCTGTTAAGGGCAAAAAATCATTTGCAAAAAGTTACCACTTCAGTTGCCATAGCTACTTCTAAATTAAAAAAAGGGATGGACTGGGGCACTGCTGGTAATGACGCAGTATGTTTTGGAAAATGCTGTTTTAAATGCTGGCAGTGATCACAGGAGATTAGGTATGTGGTAAGTAGCTTTGCTGAAGAGAAGATACACTGACTTGTGAAGGGTCTATAAACTGAGACAAAGCACTTTGGTGCAATGAAAAAAGTGACTTGTCACAAATTAATTTGAAACATGAATATGCAATGAGATGACATAACAAAGGACAAGTAACAGCCTTTTCAAATTCAGTTTCACTAATAAATGTATATAAAGGAAAAGTTTTGAACTGCACGGGAGCACTCTTTAAATACACACCTCAAATTGTCCTGATGCAGAAGAAGAACATGACCAAAATCACTGTTCATACATATATACACACCAGAGAGAGCATGTCATTAAGTGCTGATTACTTACAATGGCAGAAGTTTCCAATAATTGCTTCTTGTGATTTGTCAGAAGCACAAAAGAGGACTGTACAATGGCAATATAAGATAAATCTAATCTCTGTGCAATTAAGTATATCTTAATAACTTTTGGCTAAATGGCTGAACTTCACATTATCGATCAAGTAATAAAGCAAAGGGACCTCTTTCTGATTGCTCTCCAAAATCACCTTTACAAGAAACAGAAAACTCAGACATGAGATTAAAAAAATGTGCACTGGAAAGTGAAAAGACCTTGGGTTTCTTTATAATCCATATTCATTGTATTATAATCCATATTCATTGAATCTATAGGAGCTGGGACCACCGTGCCCAGTATAACCATAACTTAGTCTTTGCTCAAAGAATTATCAGGTAATTACTGAGGAAGAGAATGAGGCACTGTCAGGTGTAAATTCCATGGAAGTTCATGGGGATACAAGTGTGTTTTCTTTACAGCTTACATCAAGTGATAACCAGCACCTGAGAAAAAGCCAAGCACAAGTTGGATATTGGACACAGCCACTCCTTTCTCTCCCTTATGTGTTAAGCTGGGAGGAACAAAAGCTGCTTCTTGAAGGCTCTGGTTAAGGCACACTGACAGCCGTATCACACACACACAACATGTTCAGGAGAAGAGAAAAAGTGTGGTGACTGACAGGAGACCATTTATCTTCAAGATTAACAGTGGTGCTGAAATGGATGTTGTCTTGCCAAGGTGGGTCCCACAGGATGGCTGCAGTGGACAGCACCATTCCCACACAGGGCTAAAATCCACCCCTGGAACTCAGGAGATGTTCAGTTACCAACCACCAGGGGAATTTGCTAACAGATTGCAGGCATATACACAAGCTACTCTGTCTTTATAGTGTACTCACTACAAAGGAGAGCAAAGAACTCACACAGTCCTGGCTCCAAGTTATCCATCACTTATCAAACAGAAAATGATTTCCACTTTCAATTAAAAACTTGTGAACCCAACAGGCTTGTGGGACATACAGTATTTTTAATAGTAAATAATCCAAAAAGTACCTGACTTCGCCTTCTCTGATGTGACCTTCTAATTCTTCTATGAATTTTTCCCCTTTCATCCAGTAGATCATGGGGCCTGATTCTCCACTGAATCCAAAGAAAGCTTTGCAGGCCACAGTCAGTGGATTTCCTGAGGACAAAAGGAAGAGAGAAGATTAGAGACTTTGTCACAGCTACTAGTGAGAAAATTATTATAAGAAATATCAACACCTCAAATAAACTTCCTTATTAAAATTTGGAGGGGGGAAAAAATAGAAAGAATAACTATAAACCATGGAAAAAAGAGTAATGTTGATTTGCATCTACTGGAAATAGCTGTAAAATAAAACTCTGAGGTTATCCATCATTTAGTTTTTCTGAGAAAAATAGTACGTGAACAATGAGAAGGTGCGGAAATGGTGGCAACATAAGGTGACACCAGAATGGTTCCAAAAAGAAAGGAGTGACTTCCCTGTCAAACTCCTGGGATCTCTACCAGGACTAGAGATTTGTCCCTAAAAGGCAGGTAAATCACTGAATGATTGCTCCTTATCCACCCATAAAAAGACAGAGCAATAATTCCTCCCTCACTTAGATAGAAATCAAATGTAAATCAAACCTTGGTGAGCTGCTCAGAGAGCTTTTAAAGATTCCTAAGAAATACGTGATCCCAGTCAGCCCAACACTGATGTTACTGTCAACAGGCTTTTGGCTAAGGAGGAAACTTCAAAGCATTATTCAAGCAATAGAGTAAAGAATTCTTTCTTTCACCTCTGCAGATACTTCCAGAAAAAAGAAAATAAATCTTGGAAATTAGTCAAATTTCTTTTCTCTTCAAGAATTCAGAAGGTTACGGAGCAGGTGTAGCATCAGCAACTTAGCTGGGAAACAGACCTCATTTAATGTCAGTGGAGACTCCTGCTGAATTTTTCAGGGCTTCAATCAAGCATGGAAAACCTCAATAATGAATTTTACTGTATTCAAAAGAAATGTTTTATTATGTCAGGTGTTCTCCTGAGGAGACTCTCTTGGCTGAAATAGAACAGGTCTACAAGGAGGGGCTAATCATTTGGAGCACACCACTTGGTTGAGCATGGGCTAATGGTTTCCCATGATTGACTTACTGTGCCTTAATCATTCACCTCTTGACTGCCCAGGAGTGGTAACTTGCTGTGTGCACACTCAGAGCATATCAGAGCTGTGTCTTCAAGTGCCTTTGCCTAAACCCCCATAGAGCTGAGTCAACTACTTGCACTTGTCTATCTATTATTTCAGTGCCCAATTTAAGACATGTCTAAAGAGTCTGATTAGTCAGGAAGCACAGCACTCCCAGTCACGGAAAAACAGTCGCCTTTAAATTGTTTCCAAGTCAAGATCCAAAATTACAAGTCCTTTTGAAACATTAGGATACAGCAAGAAAAGATTTACAGGCTGTACTTGAGTCTCTGTTTCTCAAATAGCAAAAGACAAAAATGGAAAATGTTTATCCTGAAAATGTTTTCCAGACTCTTTCATTATCTCCATATTCACAATGAACTCTGGCACCACAGCTGGCCCCTAAACACATGGAGATGCTGGCAGATTACACAACTAGCCCAGACATAAAGGGGAGAAGAAGGGGTGGGTATTCATTATCTGCACATCCCACAACACTGATAACCATCAGAGAAAGTTCAAAACTTCACTAACTAATAAAGAGTCAGAAACACTTCCAGGCAGATATTTAATTCCACTGCAAGCTCACCCAACCCTATGAGGTGCTGTGTGTCCTCCATGGATAGAGGGGACAACTGGAACCTCTGGCTATATCTACCTCACCTTTTCCCAACATGCTGAATGCCTGCATGGTGTGAGGTCTTTTGTGCTGCTTGCCTTGGAGTCATGATACACATCTTTTTAAATACCACTTGGTGATTCCTAGCATGTGGCTGCTCAGTCCATGCTTGATATTAATGGAAATAGACATTGTAGCAATGTGAAAAAGAAAAAGGATAGACAGGGCCTATCAGTTTTGACAGTATTTGCCCTTTTCCTGGCACACCATGCTGGACATTAAGTGTTACAGGCAAAATACCTTACAGAATGTGCTTTTCCTCAAACCAGCAGATTTTCACTTAAAAAACAAGCCCCAAGAAATGAAAATATTCCAAGGTGAGACTAAGATTTCTATACATGCAGAGTAAATACCCTGAGGTAATAATGTCTGGTTTGAAGAAATAAGAAGTTTTCTACACAGATAGGAAAACTTAAAAACCCCAGCTGTTGGTAGACAGCTTCTGTAATAAATAAACCCAATATAAAGCATCAGGAACCTTTACCATGACAACCTGCATGTTCTGAATGTGCCTGGGCAGATCTATTTCCTAGCTTTGCCACCAGGGAAACAAGCAAAATAAACTAATACATGAACAGGAAAATCTGGAGTGAGTTCATATTCTCAGCTCAAAGTTTGGTACTGGCAACACTTGAAAAACCCCGTAGTCCATCTCCTCTGCAAACCCATCACTGATCAGAGGGTGGCATAAACAGCTTTTTCTCAGGGAACAACTAATTTTTATCTCAGTAGCAGAATGATGCAGGTCTGGGTTGGCCTGGTCTGTCCTGGAGTGGAAAGAATTTGGGGCTTGATGATACTTCAAGGACCTGTTTGAATTCAGACTCTCACCCGCAGTGCTGATACTCCTCATGCTGGTAAGGACATCTCACTCTACTGTAGCTGTCTGAAATAGCTTCTGGTTTGTAACTCACATCACTCTTTTTGCCTCTGGAAGTGGGACACCATCAGAAAGGTAACCCTGACTTCATTGCAGAACCACCTCACCCCCCAAAATAAGCCTCCATATGGAAAAGTAAGGGAGATTTCTCCTCTCCTGGTGTATCACCACACAGCTACAGCAGCAACCTGTTACTATTGGTTTTCAGGGAACTGCAGCCAATTCCCATCCAGAAAGGAACATGGCATGTTTCACTACATTCTCCCCCAAATACCACAATACTAAAAATGAGGCTGAATTCTTTGGTCCCTAAATGTATCCTTGAATATGTGGAGAAACAGGCACTGAGCACAGAAAGTGCCCCTTTGCAGGTCCTGGCTTTAGGGCTGGCTTCAAGCCATGCAGTATCACACTGAGCCACAGTTCCAGGCAGAAGGAACCAGCAGGCAATGTGGAACTCCAACAATTCATCCTGGGTAAGGCCTAAACTTTTGCACATCATTACTGCTATTCTGCATGACCTTCAGTAGTTCCACTACTAATGGTCTTATTAAGAAATATTCCCTTGCATCATTTAATTAACAACATCAAAACTCCTAGAATGAATAGTATCCTAAAAGTTTTCCATTTACAGATGGGTTCTGTTTAGATCAGATAGACATTTCAGATGCCTTTTTACTTAATAAAATAATGAACTAATAAAAACATTTTCTGAGGAACAGAAAAAAATATTAATGAATTACTAATGAATCAACATTTAAAAGAGTGTTTGAAGAAACAAGGAAAGAAAGTAGAAAAGCTTGTTTGCAGACATCACTGAGTCTTCTGCTTTGCTGGAGTCACCTTGATATAGTGAAGGAGTTCAGCAGAAGTCCCTGCTTTAGCTTTTCTCCCTGCCTTGTCAGTCAAGCAGGCTTGTTGCAAGCTCCTAGCTGATAAGACACAACCACTGGCAGTAAAAAAATATTGCTAAATCTTAGAGTACAGTGTTCACCAGTCATTTTCACAGTAAATCTGTGTGAACTCTACCACACATCCAAACAACTTTTTTTTTTCTGGTAAAGAGAATTCCACATTAAATGCAATTATTCAAGCAAAAGAGCCTGATGGTGGTACAAGTACTGGCTAATAATGGAAAAAGGGTCTGCAAAAGAATTTAATCAGGAATGGTTCGGAATGCAGGGCCAACATGCTTTGACAGAGAATCACAAATTCTGCAGCAGTTTCTCTTGAATGAGACATGTTTTAAGCATAAAATAATTGAAGCTTAAAATACCTAAAAATTGTCCTGTCTTTTGAAAACTTAAATGCCCTCAATCCCTTGATGACTGACCAGCATGGAAGACAAAGGCTCTTCACATCTGGCTTATGCCAAGGCATTTTCAGGATTTCTCTTTTTTTTTAAATGCAGATTGATAGTTTGTTCTTTTTCACTTGTTTTGCACAGGCAGGTGTATTTTGTGGCTTTGAAGCCCACATCAGAGAATATGCTTCCAGCAAATCAGACCTTCACTCATGGAGCATACCATCTCAGGGCAACCCCATCAAGCAACCAAAGTCATCTGTGTATCCCTGGGTGCTATGTTTTTTCCTACGGCTTGAAATATGCATTGTTTTTCCTCTTGAATTTTTGTGCCAGATAAATTACTGCTCTCAACAAGCCTGAACTGAAGCAGATGAGCCTTCCCAACTAGTGGCAGAACTGACTGAAAGTGCCAAAGGCCTCCTTCTGTCCTAAGCAATACCAAAAGTCAGACCTGCACAAGTTGCTAGCTGGATTTGCATCTTCCACTCCAACGCTAACTCCAGTGCTAATCCACTGCTTTCATCTACGGCAGGGCTGTGTGCTGCACACACATGGAAGGGCAGATGAGTGTGCAGTGCTGCCACCAGAAGATCATTCCATCACTCCAAGTCCTGGAGTTATCGATGTTTGCATATTGGAGCTCCTCTCTGATAATGGTGCTTGTGTCTCTTTCCCTATAAGACTAGGAGAGAACTCTGAGTGCTGCCAAAGGAGCAGCTTCAACACATGCAGATGTTTTGCAGGCACTTCATGGGCTTTGTTTCTTTCATTTGCTGAGACAGAGGATAAGAAAGGCAGGTTACTTATCACTTCTCAGTAAGTGTGTTCTGCAGGCTGTCTGTAGAATTGAAGCTGACTTTCCAGGCAGTGAGGTTTGCAAGGCAAATCACCATGTCACTGACAAGAACATTATTGTTCTAATGTGCTTTACAAGTGCTAGAAAGTGGCCAAAGAGCAGCAGAGTGATTTAAATTCCCCTAGCAAGGCAGGCTGGGTTGTATACAACCCTGGAGTAAAGAACACATTTCCTTTTCTTTCAGAAGGACATCCTGGATAAGAAGATATGGGAGACAGAGCTTATGCCTGCAATTTATGCACAAAACAAATACCGGGGGCAACACAGACCTTGACTCATGAAAAACAATCTCTGTGTGTGGTAGCTTCTATGCAGTCAGCAGAGAATGTCAATTGTCTCCAAGTGCCTTGCAAAGACATCCTCTGAGCTGCTCTCTGTGCTGGGCAGTGACAGCAGAGCCAGCAGCAGATGGAGGGGGTGCAGCCCAGCCCAAACCATGGCCCTGGCTTGGCTGGCTGATGCTGACACCAGGCTGAGATGCTGCTGGGCATGTGAGGGTGGCCCAGCAGCAAACGGTACCCACAGCATTGCCCACTCTTGGAATCAGAGCCCAGCCCTGTGGCTGAGCTGCTAAGCACAAAAACTCTGCATAGGGCTCACCACTGTCCTAGAGTAGTCAGGAGTATTTGGCAGGGGCAGCTGAGGCTGTGCTTGGGCTTTGTTTGTGCCACCCAGCAGAGCTGATCAGCTGTTTCCCAGTCCCTTCTCAATACAGCCATGCAGTACCACTCACACATCAGGGGCTTCAGCCTCTGTTCCTCTCATCTGCTTAGGTGGCACTGAAATTCTTCACAGATTCACCCACTACTGAATTTAGGCAAACCCCCACAAAAACCACAGATACATTATCCCTTATTTTCCCTGGGCCATATCCCAGCACTACTTGATCAGAAGTTCTGTGCTTTGTTTTGCTCAACAAGATCAATAAAGACAGTGCTAACTACTGTACCAGGGCTTCTCTTCCCTCTTCTTTTACCTGGATATTCTACAGAACACAGGCCTAGCTGTGTGCTAAACCATGTTATCCCATTTAGGTAAAAATTAGGTAAGGTTAAGTTCATTAAGAACTTAATTTCATTAAGTTCAGTGACTAGTTTGAGAATTACTGTATCCAACGAAAATAAAACATACTCATACCGAATAATTTTCCCTCATTAAAAAAAAACATAATTACAGAAAATCCTATAATATTTCAAAATTCTATTCCAGCAGCCAGTAGATTCATGACTGCATATGAGCCTTCCAAACATTTGCATAATTAAAGCTCAGCCAGGAATTAATGAACTGAAAGCATTTTAAAGAAAATTAAGAAACCTGCTTGGATAGTGATAATAACTTTCTTAATAAGATACATTTATAGTGAAATCAAACCTAACTAGCTTCCAGATATTCACTTCATAACAATTCAAGAGCATGTGAAAGCACACCCATATAATATATATATTTTATTAGATATAATCTCCAGGTTTTAAAAAGAAGCCTAAAAGAAGACTAAAGGAGGTGCTCTTCCCCTAAGCAAGGCTCTGTGCTATGAGCTGCACATGCAGCCACTACAGTAATATTCTGGCAGCTGTAATAATGTGTAGGAAAAATAAATGGCAGTAGTGCATTAACTTAGAGTAAGCTGGCTCTTCACTCATATGAACTTTTTAACAAAGGCAAGTATCTGGCAATAAAAAGAAAGAGACTGGCAAAAACTTGACAAGAAAAATGCAAGAGATCTTTAGGTCTTTTTTTTTTTTTTTGTCTCTGTAGTTTATGATCTTAATTTTAACTTTCTTTCTTGTTCTGCTCTTATTTCTTATGCCCTGAGACATCACAAAACACACAGCCATGAGATATGTGTGCTTTTCTGCCTCACTCAAGTGAGCAAATAGCATATCTAAAAAGTAGGATAAAAATAACACTAACAGCAAGCAGAATTCCAAACATGAAACAAAGAAACTAAGCCTCTAGACAGTTTGTTGCCAAGAACACAAGTCAATGCATTTGCTGTCATTCCATAGAGCCCCAACTGTTGCTAATTTAAATCACACCATCATGACCCACTGCAAGGGCTGCTTGTAGGCTTGGGTATTGACTGTAGCTCCCACAGAGAAAAACAAAACTAAGAAACACACACAAGGCCGAAATGTTGCTGATAAAAATTTATCAGATGTTCCAAAAATGAATCAATCAAAGCAAAATCACCTAGAGCAGCTTTCTTAAAAAAAAAATAACATCCAGAGAAACATCCCAACTGCTACCTCTCCCCCCTCACCCCACAAAAAAGTTAACCTCACCTAAATCCTGTAAAAACCTTTATCTTATTTTCAAAACTGCCTTGGGGTCAGAACTTAAAATCTTAGTCATTGAGAGCTCAGGTGTAACTAAAAGTCAAGGATTTTAGCTTTTCAGTTACACACCTACAATGAAGACAGATGCTTAGTGGATTTCCAGAAGCAGCTTGACAGCTGCCTTGTGCTGGCTTTAACTTGAGCTCAATGCTGAGGTCCTTCTGAAAATCTCATTTCTGTGCATTTTGAGGAACAGAAACATTATTTAAGAGAAATGCCCTGCAGGTACTTGGAAAATGTCCCCTTGGTGGAGGAGTTCCAAGGGCTGGGGCAGCCTGATGGCAGCAGAGCAGTGACATCCAGAATAAGGTGAAATAAGCAGACAGTGCAATGGAAAAAATCATTTCTCTCTGGCCCAGGCATGACCTCATGCCCTCACAGACATCATTTCTCCCACTGCTCTGAGAGAAGGGCAGGAATTATTCAGGGAACACTTGCTTCCTTAGATTACTGTCCCACAGTGGTAAGGAGGAAC